TCTCTCTCTCTCTCTCTCTCTCTCTCTCTCTCTCTCTCTCTCTCTCTCTCTCTCTCTCGTAATGCGTGGTTCCATCTCCGCCATAAACCTTGATTTCCCTAAAACCCTAGCTTATTGAGCAACCGACGTGCTATTACTTCGGTTTCGTTGTTGATTCGGAATCCCTAATCCAGGAATCTGCAATTTTTGCTGCTGCACTCCGCTTGTCTTTTCGTCTCTCCCTGGATCGTTCTGATCGACTCGATAAATCCACCTGCTGAGTCGCTGACTCGGGGTTGACTCGTCAGCTGTTCCACATCGTTGTAGGATTTCATGCACGTCTCGTTTCGCCGTGTTGAAGATGTGATGGTTGTGCAAAATGGAGGGAGGTAAAGGGATTTACGGTGCGGAGAACGGGAGTTCAAACTGCGTGGGGAAGCCGCCGAATCCTCTCTCCTCCTCCGCCTCCACCGCCGGATACAAGAAGTCGCTGGTTCGATACCCACCTCTGGTGAGGCTCGTTTTTGCCCCCAGGAATTTAACCCTTTGGACTTAATTTGGTAGTGGATTCATTGAAAAGCGGAAAGGATTGGAGTGTATTTGTTAATGATGTATGACAAATTTCGCTATGCATATGTCGAATTTTGTTGATTTACTGCAAAAAAAATGTTATTGTTCTGTTGCTCATTACTTAGCATGTTTGCTACTGCGTGTTTTTGTTTAGAGGAACGAGCAGCTTCAGCTTGTGATTTATGAACAAGCATTGAGTTCATTTTTCCAAGAAATGGCTGAGCTTTTGTTCTTTTGGCCAAAAGTTTCTATTTTTATTATGCATAATTCTTTTGTTGGGTTCTTGTTCAATAGGACATCCTCGTTATATTTGTGTTTAGAATTCTGTTCAATATGTTGATGGCTTATATGTGAACAGGGCGTTCGTTGCTTGGTTCTTTTTTTGTTTGAAGTTACTCGGGCGGTTCTGATTGCAGTTTCATGGAGACTCGATGCTATGTAATCGTGAAAGTGATATTGCGTGTAATGTTTCCATGAGAGGCTTGAGGTTTCTGACTGCCCTATTCTGGCAGGTTGAGACAACGTTTTCAGATATATCTATGGAGAATGAGTTAATTATAGAGAAGAATGGAATCAGTGGATCTGAGTTTGTTCCTTTTCTGCGCTCCGGAGCCTGGTCAGACATTGGTTCTCGGCCACACATGGAAGATGTTTATCTATGCATCGACAATTTCACGGGTGATTATGGCCTCGAGAATTCTGAGGATGGACCGAGTGCTTTTTATGGGGTAAATTCCCTGTACTCTTTGCACTTGTATGCATTTCCTTGTTGTCACAAACAGAAAATAAAATATGTTATACGGTTGATGCAAATGTACACTTGCACTGTGTTATTTTGCATGCACAATCTTTTGCTCGACATCTTCTACTTTTCAGTTTCATTTTGGATTGGTTTTCTGAAGAATCAGTCAAATTTTTCGATTACGCTGTTGCTCTTATTCTAATTGTCTTTTGTCAAACTTGGAAGTTGCACCTCGTCCATTTTCTCTGTTCCCATTTCACGAAATGGCCCCAAATTTACTTCAGTATAGTCAAAACCATGGATTTAGTGATGGCTTGTGCTCTTCCTGTTCTCTTAGGTCTTTGATGGGCACGGTGGGAAACATGCTGCTGATTTTGCTTGTTACCATTTACCAAGGTTTATTGTGGATGATGAAGAATTTCCTAAAGAAATCAAGAAGGTCCTTTCTTCAGCGTTTCTTCGAACAGACACCGCCTTTGCCAGAGCTTGTGCTTTGGATGTGGGCCTTGCTTCAGGAACCACTGCTTTGGCAGCTATTATTTTCGGAAGGTCTGTGGTAGTATCCCCCCCCCCCACCTGTGTTTTCTGCTTTGGAATGACGTGACCATAAACTCCAAATCCTTGTGCACAACCACTAAGACTCGTTGGATAGGCTAATAATGATGTGCTAGGTTTTTTACATTGCCTTAAGTATCATGCGGTTCTGCCTCTGGAGAGTTCTGATTTCCTGCTGGTCAGCAAGGAAGAACGTGTTGAAAACATACCATTACCGTCCCATAGCGCTTACTTTGCTCGTAGATTTTATGTTCGGTCATGTCTTATCCGCTTATTACATTGAAGTTATTGGTTTCGCCTTGCCATATAGACCCTTTTTTTAAGTCTTAGGAATTGATGCTCAAGAACGAGCGTCTCTGGGGATCCACAAAATAAAGCACTTTTACTTGGTAATATGTTCTTAGATTAATCTTCAAGAGAACTTATCAGGATAAGGGGAATGACTGTTTTCTTCTCCAGTAACTAGAAAATACAAAAGATTATTCGAGTGCCATCTAAATTGTAGAAACTCTATCTATGTTTCTAGGGTCTGAATTCCGTTTGCAATGGCAGGTTGTTAGTAGTGGCTAACGCAGGAGACTGTAGAGCAGTACTGTCTCGTCGGGGAAAAGCCATTGAAATGTCCAGAGACCACAAACCCGTGTGCAGCAAAGAGAGAAAACGCATAGAGGCATCGGGTGGATACGTATATGACGGGTACCTAAACGGGCAACTCAACGTGGCTCGTGCACTGGGCGACTTTCACATGGAGGGCATGAAGAAGAAGAAGAAAGATGGTTCATATGGCGGACCGCTCATTGCCGAGCCCGAGCTCATGGCAATGGAGCTAACCGAAGAGGACGAGTTCCTCATTATCGGGTGCGACGGGATCTGGGACGTGTTCATGAGCCAAAACGCAGTGGATTTTGCTCGGAGGAGGTTGCAAGAACCCAATGATCCTGTCATGTGTAGTAAGGAGGATAACGTTGCGGCGGTGGTGGTTTGTTTTCAGACAGAGCCGCCGCCGAGTTTGGTGGTCGGGCCGCCGCCGTCGAGGAGGTTTCACCGGAGCTTCTCGGCCGAAGGTCTCAAGGAGTTACAGAGCTTCTTGGATAGCCTCAAGTGCTAGAGAGAGAGAGTGATGGTAAGGTTTTTTTGTTTGTGTTAATTCGATTTAATTTGAGAAGTTTTTATATTAAACTGTACAATATGCGGCGGCGAATATCATAACATATCACGATTGTTGAGGGTCCAAATTGATTTGGTAATAGTTTACAGTTTGGTAAGTTTAGCTTCGGTTTATACCACGTGAATGTTCAAGAGGGCAGTAAAAGGCGAAATGGTTAAAATAATTTACAGCCGGTCGAAGTAGCATAAATTTTAACCATTGGAGAACAAGGCCGGTTTATCGAACCTTGTGCTTCACCTCTATGATCTATCCGAATTCTCCGTCCCATTTCTACAACAATATCCCTTGCATTTGAACTAAACCAACCCTAAACCAGCCTAAACCGAATTTAACCGGGTTAAACGGACTTAAACCAATCATGTTTTGTAATATTAACTTTTAAGCATGATATATACATCTGATGTATGACATTGACTACTGTTAGGGACTCTTTTGCCGTATCGGCGGCACAGGTGTAATGATGGCTCACGGCAAGCAAGCAACAAGTGTTGTGTTGTTGAACTGACAAAACTAACATCGCTATATATATATATTATATTATATTATATATGTATATACCATGCACATATATATATATATATATTATAGAGTTGTATTTGTTTAACAAAAACAAAGGAACGGACATGGCAGGGAGAATCAGTTGCTGTCTGAATCTTCCCCTTCCAAACACCAACTCTTCACAGTTATCCAAACCCTTCTTTTGGTATATGCTCTTTCTTCTTCCTTTTTTTTTTCCTTTCATAAATTCAATCTTGATTCATGTATTCCACCATGTTTCTGTTTTTTTTTTTTTGTGTCGTAAAGGAGGAGAACAGAGGAAGAGATCAAGCCACGGAAGAAGACCTCTGATTGTTGTCTCGTGGGCTTCGCCGCCTTCGTTATGATCTCTGCTACGCCGTTAAGCCACGTGACGGCGGCTTCTGCGTCGGAGACGGCGGTCGTGGGATCACCGGTGACGGCGACGAGGTGGAGCGAGAAGAGGGCATGCCCTCCTTGGCTCCAGAACTCACTAGAGACCATCGTGCCGGAGAATCTTCCCCGGCCGTCGACTCGCCGGCGTTGGGAGTCCGTCGGGGCGCACGTATCCCACGCGCCGCGGGTGGGTGCGTTTGTTACACGCGCCAACAAGGCTGATTGTTTCTCCATGTAAATTTTGAGGGGGGGGGAATCAAGCCAATATATATAGTTGTTTACTGTATAATTTAGGGATATACATCTTAACCACACTGTAATTATCAGAAGAAAAAAAAATTGTGAAACCAATTACTGTAATAAAATAAATTAGTTAAAAGTGAAATCTTAATACTATGCAATTGCAAATTATGATTAAATTGTCCATCTGACATGAATTGTTAGACTCTTCTGTATGAATTTAGAGTATTCAATATGAAAATATCCTTCCTTTTTGGCACCATGTTCATGAATTTAATTATAAAATCCTAAAAATGAATATGTTATTTTGACCGAATCAGTGTTTGTTCGGTCGTGTCGTGTGTCCTTTTTCTTTGGGGGGGGGGGGGGGGGT